CGGCTTCATCTGCTTCAACAGACCCGAAGTCTACAGATGCATCCAAGGACCCAAAGTCATCATCAGCGCAAGCTTCATCAGCATTTGAGGCAGTTCGCATCAAATACGAGAAAGATAACAAGACTGCCCGGACAACCATTCTCCAACGTGTAAGTGACCCGTTGTTTGATATGTTTTCTGAATACAAATCTGCAAAAGTAATTTGGGATTTAATGATTGAGAAATATGGTGCTGATGATGTGGGGAGACGCAAATATGCTGTGGGTCGTTGGTTACACTTTAAAATGGTGGACACCAAACCTGTAATCGAACAGGTACACGAATTTGAGAATCTGGTCGGTGACATGGCAGCAGAAGGTGGAATAGTTAATGAAGTTGTCCTATGTGACTCCTTGGTTGACAAATTGCTCGACTCATGGGTGGACTTCAAGAACAAAATGAAACATGACCGAAGGAGCTACACACTACAACAACTGATAAATAGCGTGAATATCGAGGAAGAAAACCGCCTGGTTCAAAGGTCTGTTATTCTTACTGACAATGTTAAAGCTAATATTGTTGAGACTAACTCTGGCTTTGACAAGTCAAAAACTGGTGACAATTCTAGAAACCAAAAGAAAAATTATAAGAATAACAGTTCCAATCGCGGCAAGGGCGGGAAAATTCAGAAAAAGGGAAAAATACTGGTGAATGTTATGTATGTGGGAAACGAGGCCACCGTTCTGCCCAGTGCTATCATCGTAAAGGGTCCACGAGTCAGAATGGTCAGAAGCCAAACAACGAGAGGCCGAAGAACCAAGCTAACCTCACGGAGAACATGGAAGATGCTGACTTAGTAGCTGCAGTAATAACTGAGGCCAACGTAGTAGAAAATCCAGACGAATGGGTTGTGGACACTGGAGCTTCACGACACTTTTGCAATAACAAAGCTTCATTCAAAACTTTTGAGCCTATCACTGGTGGAGAACAAGTCTTCATGGGGAACTCTAGCGTTTCCGAAGTAAGTGGTAGTGGAAAAGTAGAATTACTGCTTTGTTCTGGAAAACATTTATTGTTGCAAAATGTGCTTTATGTCCCTTCCCTTCGAAGAAACCTGATTTCCGGAGGCCTTCTAAATAAGGCTGGAATTAAGATGGTTTTTCAGTTTGACCGTCTGGTTATGACTCGTTGTGAGAAGTTCATTGGGAAGGGATATATGCGTGGAGGTCTTTTTGTACTAGATATCTCTATGGTTAAAAATCACTCTGATGTATCTGGATCTTCTCTGACTGCTCGTGATAATAAGAATGCTTCTTCTGCTTATATTACTATATCATTTAATGTTTGGCATGCTAGATTAGGACATGTTGGTACAAAATGTTTAAATAGACTGAAAACGTGAATATGCTGTCAAACTTGTCTAATGATACATGTGAACAATGTGAAACATGCGCCGAGGCAAAATTTGCTAGAACATCTTTTTTAACTGTAAAGCATCGTATTTCATCGTTGCTAGAATTGATTCACACTGATTTAGCAGACTTTAAGACCACTGAAAGTCGAGGTGGTAAGCGTTACTATATAACTTTTATTGATGATTTCTCCCGATATACAAAATTATACTTATTGAAATAAAAAAGTGAAGCCGAACAAAAATTTGTTGTTTTTAAAAATGAAGTAGAAAATCAGTTGGAAAAAAGGATCAAAAGATTTAGATCCGATAGAGGAGGAGAGTATGAATCAAATTTCCTGAAAGATCTGTGTGAATCTTCTGGCATTATACACGAAGTAACTGCACCCTACACACCCCAACAAAACGGCATAGCAGAAAGAAAGAATAGAACTGTTAATGACATGATCAACGCTATGCTGATCAGTTCAGGTGCTTCTGACTCGTTGTGGGGGGAAGCCGTTTTAACAGCAAACCACATTCTAAATAGGGTCTTGCACAAAGGGTTTGAAAAAACCCCTTATGAATTGTGGAAAGGGCATGCGCCTAATCTTAAATACTTTAAAGTATGGGGCTGCTTGGCAAAGGTGGGACTCCCGTCCTTTAAAAGGCCCAACTTGGGACCTAAAACCTTAGATGCCGTATTTTTTGGGTATGCTGAAAATAGTGCTGCTTATAGATTTATGTGTTTAGAAAACCGTACAATCTGTGAATCTAGAGATGCAGTTTTCTTTGAACACGTGTTTTCGTTGAAAGGTGCTATTGAACTAGATGCTAATAGAGTTCAACAAAATCTTTCTTTCCTTGATTTCTCATGTAATTCAGAAGAGCCTAGAAGAAGCAAAAGGTCTAGAATTGAGAAAAACTTTGGCTCTGACTTCATAACATATATGACGGAATTGAAAGATCTAAATGAACTTTGTGATCATTTTATATGTCAACTTGTGTTAGAAGAAGAACCAAAATCCATTCAAGAAGCTATGCGCTCAGTAGACGCTACTCTATGGAGAGAAGCAGTTAAAAGTAAGTTAGACTCTATACAGTCTAATCATACGTGGGAAATAGTGGATTTGCCTAAGGGTTGTAAACCCATAGGCTGTAAATGGATTTTTAAGAGGAAATTGAGACCAGATGGCTCAATTGAAAGATTCAAAACCAGACTGGTAACTAAAGGGTTCACACAGAAATTCGGTGAAGATTACTTCTATACCTATTCACCAGTAACAAAGATAGCTACCATACGTGTTGTTTTTACTTTAGCATCTTTACACAGGTTGATAGTACATCAAATGGATGTGAAAACAGTTTTCCTCAATGGTGAACTAGAAGAGGAGATCTACATGGAACAACCCCCCGGATGTGTTGATCCGGGACAAGAAGGAAAGGTATGCTAACTTAAAAGATCTCTTTATGGCTTGAAACAAGCACCTAAGCAGTGGTATGAAAAGTTTCATAAAACTTTGTTAGAGCTAGGTTATTCCACTAACCGCTCAGATGCCTGCTTATACACAAAAGAGGTAGAGTCTAGCATCGTAATAATCTGTCTCTATGTAGATGACATGCTAATCTTTAGCTCAAGTATAGGAGCTATAAAAGAGACTAAAAGAACTCTATGTGACAAGTTTGATATGAAGGATCTTGGGGAGGCTGATGTAATACTTGGGATAAAGGTTACAAAAACCGAGAAAGGTTACCTTTTATCTCAAAGTCATTACACGGAAAAAATCCTGAAGAGGTTTGAGAGTTATGATGTAACTCCAGCGAAAACCCCCTATGATCCTAGCGTTAAATTGTCAAAGAACATAGAGGCCAGTGTGTCTCAAGAAGAATATGCAAAGATAATTGGGAGTATAATGTTCTTGATGAACTATACTAGACCAGATCTTGCATTTGCTGTGAATAAACTCAGTCGGTATACTCACAACCCTGGTATCCCACATTGGGATGCACTGAGAAGGGTATTTCGATACCTAAGAGGCACGATAGACTGGGGCCTTAACTATAAGGGAAACCTAGCTGTGCTCAAAGGGTTCTGTGATGCAAACTAGGTAAATGACACTGATGATGTAAGCTCGACTAGTGGATATGTGTTCACTATGTGCGGAGCCGCGATATCATGGAAGTCAACCAAACAATCCTGTATAGTCATATCAACTATGGAGTCAGAGTTCATAGCTCTAGATCTAGCAAGTCTGGAAGCCGAATGGCTGAGAAATCTTTTGGCAAACGTGCCATTGTGGGGGTGCCCAGCACCTGCTGTTCCCATACATTTTGATTCCCAGACTGCCATCTGTGTTGCGCAAAACAGTGTCTACAATGGGAAACATAGACACATAAGAGTATGACAAGAGTCTGTACGGCAGTTGATAATAAATGGGGTGATCACAATGGTATTTGTGAGATCTGAAAGGAATGTTGGAGATCCTTTCACAAAGGGCCTAAATAGAAAGGTTATCCTTGATACATCAAGGGAAATGGGTCTGGAACCTACACATGCTCTGTAGCCAACCATAGTGGTCTACGTTGAGGTAGACTTGACAGAGTTGAAGGTCTATACTGGAATAGACCTAACAGGGGATAATTCAGGGTCAAGAGTATGACCACACATAATTCATGGCGACTAGAGAAAATTCAGTACATTTAAGTTCAAACTTTGTCTATTCGGTGGGTTCAAGGTCTAATTCACTCCCGCGTAGAGAAGTACTTAATGTCACTATATGACAGTTCAAGTATTATACACTGGCATGGAAATTTGCTTTTGTCCGGACTCAGGCAATGTTAGCACCAGCCTAATCCCTTTTCATGGTGAGGGATTGTTGGGAGCATTTAAAGGGAAAGGCTTTTTATAGCTTACCCAAGTTGTCCCACATTGGTAGAATAACCTCTTCTTTCCCTACTTATATACTCCAAGCCTTTTGAGATAGTTTGAAGTGTTATGAGAATGGAAAGGAGGTAAACCACGCATGCACCGCCGCCGCTGCTCGCCCGTTCGGCCTGGCTCGGCACGACGCGCGGTGTGGTGGTGGGGTCAATGTTTTGCTGCCAACACTATTTTCTCACCCTATTTTTGTGGATCAAACTTGTAACCTTGTCCGCACAACTCAATGAATGAGTGTGCAGAGTTGGTTCTTTGCTAGTTTATAGCCCTACAATAGTGGATGGTGAGAGGTGGGCTGTTACAACACTCTACTATATAAACCTGCTGCCTTGGTTCTTCTTTCCACGCCAAAACAGTACTAAAAACCATACTGCCAGAAAACTGCTTCGCTAATATTGTCTGCGAGTTAACAGGGAGCTAGCCTGTTCGCTCTGTTGTGCCTGTCGAGAGCATGCGACTCAATCCCTGGTCGTAAATGCTTTTAAGGTAGTGTTTAAGAACACGATACAGAACCTTACCCTTTTCGTTCCAAACTACACACGCCTAGAATTTCATAGTGCTGCATTTCCTAACACAAACCACTTAGTATAAGACATGTTCCTTCATCAAACCACTTAGTATAAGCTCCTTTAACGGTCTCTGGTTTAGCCAAGGATCAAGCCAGAAGAGGTTGCTTCTTCCATCTCGAACTAGCTTCTTGGTGCCTTTAATGAGAAAAGGGAACGCCTTCATAATCCCTTTCTAAGCATTTGACGATGGGCGTTTGTTCTGCCACATACTGGGGAAAAAGACTGAAACGTGAAGGTAGAGGTATGTATTTCTCAAAATGTGAATGGGCATTTTTGTGGACAAAAATATGAAAAATAAGTTTGGGACTTGCGTTTGATTTCAGAAGTGGTCAAACAAAAAACGCGTTTTTTTTTTTTTTTTTTTTTTTTAAATTTGGTCGCTGGCAACACCCTTCTCCAGCGAACCGGCGACCCAAATCCCTGGCTTCTCCAGCGAAGGAGAAGGTCATCGCCACTGGTTGCCTTCTCCTTCGCTGGAAATGCCAGCGATTTGGGTCGCCGATTTCTCCAGCGAAGGAGAAGGCAACCATTGCCTTCTTCTTCGCTGGGGAAGGGTGTGGAGAAGGGTGTCGCCGGCAGCTTCGCCAGCGACCAAATTTAAAAAAAATAAAAAAACATAATTGCAAGTGGGACTTGAGTTTTTTATTAGACCACTTCTGACATCAAACGCTAGTCCCAAACTTGTTTTTCATATTTTTGTCTACAAAAATGCGCATTCACATTTTGGGAAATACATACCTCTACCTTCACATTTCAGTCTTTTTCCCCACATACTGGGTCAGAGCAATGAATCCCATATTTTGTCTTTGCCATTTGAAACCACAGGCTGTTGTCACCCGTTTGAAATCTGCATGCATCCAATTTTTGCAAAGAACGCAATATTCATTGCTTCTAAATTCTTGATCTCAAGCCCACCTTGTTCTTTACTCCTTGTAACAGTATCCCAGACCACCAAACTGCATTTCCTAGTGTCTCCCGATCCTCCCCATAGAAAGCTTCGTAGGATTTTTCTAAAGCCTTGATCACACCAGAAGGTAGGAGGACAGACTGCATTGTATAAAAAGGTAGTGTTGATAACACAGGTTGTGCTAACGTCCTTCTACCTACAAAGGATAATGTCTTTCCACGCCAGCCAGTTAATTTGTTCTGAACCTTGTTGGACTAGAACATGATCCGTTATGTCAAAACAATGCAAATATTTAGACAAAGCATAGCCCAACAAATTAAACTTCCTAAAATCGCGGTATGCCACAAGACTAAGTCGAGGCTCACGTGGTGGGCCACGATACTAAGCCAAGGCCCATCACTTTAAGGCCAGTGACGGGCCCCAAGTCTAAGATCATTCTCGGGCCACTCGGTTTATCTTCCTAGGCCTCGGGCTATGCACTTTCAAACCCCGGGTCCCTATTATTGGGCCATTTCTAATGTATCAATCAGTGTATTAAAAGCAACTATTTGTTTGATCTGATTATTGGTAATGTAAATTTGTGAGTCTGGAATGTAGGTGAAATCCTATCTGGTTGCTACTTGGTTTTTAAAACAAATTAACCATATGTATTTAGTACTGTATTAGGAATAGAATAAATAATAAAAACAGTGCAAGAAAAGTAAATGAAACTAGAATATGTTCACGCAGTTCGGAGAACTTCTCCTATGTGTGTGGGGCCACACAAAGGTGAAATCCAACTCCACTAGATGATCACATATGATACAATGTTCAGTAGATTTCCATACAACAGCTATGACCTAATCTCCAACACCAACTAATCATCATCATCTTCTGAGTTGGTACTTCTTCACCTTTCTTGGACTTATCAATAAGACTTCCACTCCTTGAATAATTCCAGATTACAACACAACTTTAATCTAGATAGCCATCTACAATAAATGAGTCTGAAATAATTTAACAGACTTTGAACATTAAAATAGCAGGGCCAATATTAAAACAGCAGGGGTGTATGCGTTAACTTTTCTCTTTGTTTTTCAGCTTCAAGAAATCTCTGAAGATTTATCACAATTTATACTTGATACTCTTGAAATAATCTTGCATGAAGGTCTAAAACCGTGAGCATTTTGGATGTGATGGGTTACTTGTTATAAACTTGTTAAGAATGCTAAATGAAAAATAATTGGGAATATAATAGTCTAGACAGACCATATTTTAATTCATGGTGCTAGGTGAACAATCAATGTTAGTACATGGGCCCATTTGACCCTTCTGTCTTAATTTAACAATTTCAGTACGTTGGAAATACAACATAAGTTTGAGAACAGTACAAGTACTCTGTACTTCACAAGTTTCATGAAATTAACTTGTATTGCTATGAACAACATGAGTTTTGCGCAAACTCATGTTGCTCCAAACACCATGGGTTTCACGTAAACTTGTGCTACTCCGAACCACACAAGTTTCAGGCAAACTCTCCTAATAGCAAGAGTTTTTCAAACTTGTGCTGCTCCTTTAAATAGCACAACTTTTTTTTTTTTCAACAGCTTGAGAAAAAAAATTTAAAAATTTGATAAAATCTTAATTAAGTCAATCGCTTGACTTAATCTAATATTATGTCAATTTTTTTAAATTTGATTTATATTCTTACATTCATAAGAGAACCGCTATGTTCCGTAGAACCGCTATGTTCCGTTATACAATTCAAACCGCTATTTTATACAATTTAAACTCAGCAAAAATTTATGTGAGACCGTCTTACGAGTCGAATCTTAAATTAGTGAAGTTAAAGATTCATTCATTAATCAAGTTTCCTATCCGTCTCAAACACAAGTGTTACCCTTTAAAATCTTCAAAAGAAACTCCTTGTGTGAATATATACATTTATTGTTATTGTTGTTCTCATAAAGTTGAATTCCCACTCTCAAGGGCCCCACTCTCCGATCCGATAGAGCATTTGAGAAGATGTAAATCATGATAACTCAGTTGAACATAGAGACTAAACCTTTGCTTACTGCATACAAAGAACCCATCACTTTAAAAGGTTGCTCCCACAATGCCGCTGGTAAGACTCTTGAATTCCAAACTTATTCATGTATCTAACTGAGCTGTCCATGCGGGCAATATTATATATATATATATATATATATATATATATATATATATATATATATATATACACATATATATTAAGACAATGTTAGGAGATAATACGTGGTCAAAAGAGAAGACCTCTGTCACTGGGTTCAATGAGGGCCATCCACCATCTAGCTAATCATGTTTTTTGTGCAGTTGGCTTTCTTTCAACCACCATTAGAGATGAATTATTTTATATATATAATATATATATTGCTTGGTGTCAATATCCATCAGCAACCAGCTGCTTCAATTCACGGGCTAAAATATCATACTTCCCACACCGATTAATTAATCAAAATTTCCTAATCTCTCATACTAATCTCCTCTTGTCTCTACTGACTTACAATATTATATATATTTTGTCTTTAATTGATGGCAACATGAAGACCACCAGCCAGCTGATGAAGATCGGAGGTTCGTTATTGGTGGCCACACAATGCCAATTCTTCGTCCCCTTCTTTAGTCTGCAGCTAGCTGCTTTATTTTGAATTCAATATATATATGTGAATGCTTTGCATATGCACACAACTTAACACATATTTTAATTATCTGCGTTTAGATAAACTAAACTATTATTTTTATATGAAAAAATTGCATTTTTTGTCCTTCGGTTATACCTGTACAGTGGTACAAATTTAGTCCCTAAATTATATTGTCTGGTCATTTTAACCCCTAAGTTATGTACAAGTGACCATTTTAGTCCATATTGGTCCTTCAAGGCTTCAATGATTAAAATTGTCACTCCATATACAACTTAGGGGTTAAAGATGGTAACGCATATAACTCAGGCACTAAGTCTGTATCACGGGTATAACTGAAGGACCAAAAATACAATTTTTCTTATTATTAATTCTGGAGGATTATATATAATTTAAGCACCAGGTTTTAGGCAAACAACTGAGTTAGGTTCATTCTTCTCTGGGTAATGATCATTGCAGAAGAAAGATCCATAGATGGAGAAAACTCATAAACAAGCCCTGTTTAACGTTGCTAATCTCAAGATCCCGTCTGTAAGCTCTCTCAGTTATTGTCTTTTTTCCTAGTATATCATCGGACAGTGTGTGGGGATTATGATGAATTATGTATGTATATATGTTATATGTATCCTTTTTCTGACTTTCTTATTAGATAGTTTTGTGTGTTGTTAGTTCCAGGTGGTGGTAGTAAATGCAAACCTGGGCTGTGCTCATTGCAGACGAAGAATTTCTCAAGTAATTTTGAATATAACTGGTAATTAAGGATCTGATCTATCTTTATTAGTTAATTATATTAGTTTGAGGGCTATTTGCTATAATATATCAGATGAAATGGTTAAACTTACTTTGTGTTTGTAATGAATTTTTAGGGTTACGGGAGTATACGATGGATGTTTTGAAGCGACAAGTGATTGTAAAAGGTGGCATCAAAAATAATTTTCAAAATCGAAACAACACAAAATTGAAGGATGAAAGGTGTAGGGTTAAATTCTTTACTAGATTATTTTGCTTCTGATTTTAATATATCTGATCTGGTGATCAATCATTATATCATTGTATGTACAAAACCTATATTTGTTGGCGTAATTTTTTATAAATGTTATAATTTTTTTATTGAGCAAATACCAATTTTAGTTCCACGAGTATTAGTAAAATGACAATTTTAGTCCACATGTTTAATTCTTACCAATTTTCATCCACGACTATTTTATTTAGCGCCAAAATTCATCACGTTGGTAACCGTACCCCTCCGTTTAAGACATGCCGAAATCTAAAAATTTTAAGGGTAATTTCGTCCTTTTCAACTTAAGATCCCAATTTGAGTATGAATAAGGGGATTTAAGCCCTAAGATCGATATGAATTCGCAGTTATCTTCCTCATCCTACCTTAATTTGAGTAGAAAAATTGCGAATTAGGATTGATCTTAGGGTTTAAATCTCTTTATTTTTTTTATTTTTTATTTTTATTTTTATTTTTGTTAGGTTTCTCCATAAGAGAAACACCTTTAAAAATTAGAGTATGACATTCATTGCAACAAGCACACGGTATTCTTTAGTAAAAGGCAAAAGAATAGTTCACTATGTGCTCACTGCATGGCTGCTTGAAATTCACTATGTGCTCTAAATCTCTTTATTCATATTCAAATTGGGATCTTAATTTGAAAAAGACGAAGATACCTTAATAATTTCATATTTCGGCATGTCTTAACCGAATGGTGACCGACGTGATAAATTTTGATTAGGAGTGTCAATACGGGCTGGCCCGCCTCATTAGGCTCGCCCCACCGCGGGCTTTTTATTTGGCGGGCAGGACCGCGAAACCCGCGGGTTTGGAACTATACAACCCAAGCCCGCCCCATGCGGGCTTGCGTGTCTCGCGGGCTGGCCCGCGGGCCATCACTTAAATTTAAAAAAAAAAACATTAAATAGTATATAAACATGTTAAAACCGCTTGAAATATGGCACCAGAAACTTCCATAAAATCCATAAGCCTCGCCTAAATCTCCTGGATCGATACCGCGCGTTCAGCAGAACTGTAGAAGGGTGATCAAAGCTAGAGTTCAACAGCACACTCGATTTCTCTCTCGGTTTCAGATTTTCCCTCTACAATTTCCGTCTGTGTATAATACATATATAAATATGTATGTTTGCTAGACTTGGAGGCGACTTAGTAATTCATAAATATGTATGAATTGATGATTTAGTTTTAGTAATTATTTGATAGAGTGGGAGGCGGATGGGGAGGGTGAACCGAAGAACTACGTACTCTAGGAATTATTGAATTAAGAATTGGCGAAGGATTATTGAATTATTGGATTTCTCCCCTTCTGCGTACTCTTAGATAGTTAGATCTACACATTGCCTAAGAATTAAGATATTATATATATGATTTTAAAAAAAAATATTATATATAATTTATTTATTTATTTTTTAAATATGGCCTGGCCCGCAACCCGCGCGGGCTCTGGCCCTCCGCGGACCATACCCGTTAGGCCCGCATTTTCGCGAGCCTAATTTCTTGCGGCCCTAACCCGCCCCATTGCGGGGCGGGTGCGGGCTAACCCGCGGGCTTCGCCCCACTTTGACACCCCTAATTTTGATACTAAAACAATAGCCTTGAATGAAAATTGGCACTATAACAATAGTCGTGGATGAAAATTGGTAGAAATCAAACATGTGTGGACCAAAACTATCATTTTACTAATACTCGTGAGACTAAAATTTGTATTTGCTCTTTTTTATTTATTGATTTTACTATAATTCCTTTAAAAAAAAAGAAAAAAAAAAAAGACCACCAACAAAACCATATATTAAACTTCATCAAGGAAAAATCAGAGGGAACACCTTTCTAGTTCATACGGCCAGACTCAGCCACTTTAATCAAAGCATGGGCGAATTGATTCACAAACTAAGGAATATACGAAAAAGCACAAGATAAAAACGAACTACAAAGTGACATACACAAAAAAATAATGCTACCTAAATAGGATCTATCAATACTCCTACTACATAAAGTTTGAACCTGCAGATTCAGACAATCAAATTGAATGCAGACCTCCCGTACTCCTCGTGCTTTCATCCATGAGAGTGCTTCCTTACACCTCATAGCATCAGCCATAAGAAGGTCCTACACGCACTGTATAACTCTGTTTGCCCCTGCCAAAAAGGAACCATTCGCCTTTGTCAATCCAACGCCAATGTTACTTACTCATTGATTTTCATAAGAAATGTCTTAGATTTGAACCTCAATTAACCTAATCAAAGTTTGCATAATTGTATACTATGAATATGTTAGAGTGTATTCAAAATACATATAAATTTAACAGAACTTTGGTCAATTAATTAGCCAGACTATATATATAGCATTCAAAGTTGAGTGTCAAAGATTACAAATAAAAAACCTTGAAAATCATTTTCTTGTATTTTTTATTTTAAAACAAATCTATGTTAAGTATGTATATATATATATATATATATATATATATATATATATATATATATATATGTGTGTGTGTGTGTGTGTGTGTGTGTGTGTGTGTGTGTGTGTGTGTGTGTGTGTGTGACACTTAAGATCATTCACATTCATGTTGGCAAGAAGCGTGTTTTTTTTCTAAACATTTTCCTTTCATTTTGAAACGTTGATCTAATTTAAATCAATAGCTCATATCTCACTCCATTTTTCACTTGGAAGGCCCATCGTAAGTGAACCACCCTCCTCTCTCTCTCTCTCTCTCTCTCTCTCTCTCTCTATATATATATATATATATATATATATATATATATATATATATATATATAACCACATAATAATAAATAAGTTTTTTCTCAAATACTTTTCTACAAATCGCAATAATACTAATCAGATATTAAAAATATTACAAACAAAAAAAAGCACTTTTAAATTGTTGCATCAACATATGTGTTAATGTGTGTTATATATACGTTGTAAGACATGCAAGAGGCATTTGATGATAGAATATATCAAATGGTGAGATGAAAATTGAAAAGAATAATCAGGGATTGAGTCTCACCAGCGGTAATATAGAAGTAACCTCTCAAAGTAAGGGACGGGGCTCCTTGTGCGTAATGTGGTTCATCAGACCCGGCCCTGGGCAAGGGCAGGTTGGGCCCTTGCCCAGGGCCCCATGCTTGGAAGGGGCCCCTACCCTATACTATTACTCTAATATATACTATTAGAAATGTCATATAATTATTTAGTATACATTCATGGTAATGGTTTTGAATTGGCTAAGTTGGTAAAGCTTAGTATTTTAATCTGCATGGTTGAGGGATCGAATCCCCATATGTAATTTTACATAAAAATTCCCCCCTTCTACTATTTAGTATATGAATTTAAGAATTTTACTAAAAAAATTCCCCCCTCTACTATTTAGTATATGAATTTAAGAATTTTACAACACTAAGATTTGAGTTGGTTGGGTTGGTAGGACTTGTAGTTTTTATGCTCATGGTCAAGGGATCAAATCCCCTTATATAACATTTTCCTACAATTTATTTATTTCTATTTTTAATTTGTATTTTTGTAAATTTAATTTGTAACTTTGTGATTTTGTTACCTTTCTATAATTATAGTGAGATTTATAATATAGATTGATTTGTAATGTATATCAAATTTTGAATCTATTTCTATTCGAGTAATTTACTACTTATATTTAGAATATTTGTTGTTTTGTGAACTTTATAATGAGTTATATATATGTAATATATATATATATATATATATATATATATATATATATATATATATATATATATATATTTTGTGATTTAGTTATGAAAAATATTTTAAAAGATAATTTAATTTTTGTATGAATTATCTAATCAATGTAGGTTAGAAGTTTTATTGTGCGTCATCGTATTCAAATTAATCTAGAAAAACTTGAAAGTGATCTAACTAAAAAAGAGTATTTATAAATATGATATCAATATATAAGATGTGTGATTTATTACATGTTTTTTATTCGAACTATTTTATCCAATTAATTATGTTTCATATTTTATTATGAATATCTTTTATCTCGTTTGAGTGTTTTGATTTATTGTTCTCAATAATTAAGATTTTATGCTATGATCTTATTTGTAAGTTTTTTTTTTATATATAAATTTTTATTAATAATTACTTTATTATTTATTACAATAATAATGTGATTGTCTATAAGCTCATTTGGTTTTAAATTATCTATTCATTTTTATAAGCTATATTATTTATTTATGAAAATACTGATGCGGTGATTGATTATTGTGGATTTAGGAATGCATCTATAATTGTTTTCATGGGTATGTAAAATTGTTAAAAACTTGTGAATCTTATTTAAGTTATTTGACATTAATATTGCTTCCTTTTTTTTTTTTTTTTTGAAAATATTAATATTGCTTCCTTATTTAATTTAAATTTTAATTATAAAAGTATATATAAATTTCGTATAAGGCCCATTTTTGTTGTTATGTCCCAGGCCTAAAGAATGATAGGACCGAGCCTGTGGTTCATGTTCAGTTGAGTTACCACGATTTACATCCTCTCAGATGCTTTGTCGTGCGGGGGTTGGGGTAGTATGAGAGCAACCTCTCAAAGTGAGGGGGGCTCCTTGTGCACACTGTGGTTCATGTTCAGTTGAGTTACCATGATTTACATCCTTTCATATGCTTTATTCGGGTTGTCGTTCAACCTTTTGGAAAGAAGGATAGAATATATCACATTTTTTTTTTAAAATGTTGTTGTTGTTGTTGTTGTTGTTGTTGTTGTTGTTATTATTATTATTATTATTATTATTATTATTATTATTATTATTGTTATTATTGTTATTGTTGTTATTATTATTATTATTATTATTATTATTATTATTATTATTATTATTATTATTATTATTATTATTATTATTATTATTATTATTATTATTATTATTATTATTATTATTATTATTAAGCAAATACCAATTTTGGTCCCTCGAGTATTAGCAAAATGACAGTTTTGATCTACATGTTTAATTCCTACTAATTTTCATCCACGACTATTCTTTTAGTATCAATTTTCATCCACGGCTACTATTTTAATGAAAAAATTTATCACGTCAGTCACCCCTTCGTTTAAGACATGCCGAAATATGAATTTATTAAGGGTATTTTTGTCATTTTGAAATTAAGATCCCAATTTAATTTGAGCATGAATAAAGAGATTTAAGCCATAAGATCGATCTCAATTCGCAGTTCTCTTCCTCAAATTAAGGTAGGATTAGGAGCAGAACTGCGAATTGTGTCGATCTTAGGGCTTAAATCCCTTTATTCATGTTCAAATTGGAATCTTAAGTTGAAAAAGACGAAAATGCCCTTAAAATTTTTAAATTTCGGCATGTCTTAAATGGATGGGTGACCGCGTGATGAATTTTGGTACTAAAATAATAGTTATGGATGAAAATTGGTACTAAAAGAATAGTTGTTGATGAACATTGGTAGGAATTAAATATGTGGACCAAAATCGTCATTTTGCTAATACTCGTAGGATCAAAATTGGTATTATTATTATTATTATTATTATTATTATTATTATTATTATTATTATTATTATTATTATTATTATTATTATTATTATTATTATTATTATTATTATTTTGTATTAGGTATTAAATCTAAATTAAGGTGTTAAGATCAAGAACCCGTTATTTAGACTAAATAATTTCTTTACTAATAACTAGCGGATGTGTTATATTTATAATGTAGTGCAATGATACAAGAATTTACAAGCGTATACTGTGCTTACAATTTACTAAAGTTTCACTATTTTCAAGAGAGATTGTCTGCCTGAGCTTCAAAATGTAAAAGCTCACTACGAATGGAATAAATTGGATTTTAGCTTTGTTGAATTCGAATATTAGGTGGCTTAGCATGGCTGGTAGTGACCTAAAATGTTGTTGTTTCCACTTCCCATGATTTCTTGGGTGTTGCCGGCCCTCCCCAAGGCATGACAATTGTCTCTGGTGGCAACATTTTGTTTGTCACATTCGATTGGATAGTCAGAACTTTGGTACCATCTTATATAATAACTTTTTTATTTTTAATATATTAGGTATCGCAGCTTAAAAACTATTAGGCCGGTAAGATAAATCGCGAGTTGTTCCATCAACTTTCATATTTTTACTTTATGTCTGTATATTCTCCGCACAATGAGTATGATTTTCATCTTTTGTAATTGGTTATGGTCTCCTAATGACCCCCAGATTCTTAGTGGAATTCAAACTAATACATTACCACAGGAGCAAGACTTTAAGATGATTGGTCAAACCATTTAGTTAACCCCCAAGGCTTACATAATAAATTAGATAATAAATTTTAAAATCTTAGCATCTACTACTTAAATATTATAAATGGAAAATGCTTTTTACTCTTTTTAAAATTTTCTTCATGAGGTGAGTTTTTTTTTTTTTTTTTTTTTTTTTTTTTCCTTTGCCGACCTCATCACAAATTAAAAACTTAAATCATCTAATCAATATTTTTTTTTTATACGAATAAAATTAACGTATTAAAAATATATCATGAAAAACTATAATTGAGATATTTTAAATGACACTCATATTAATATTTGTTGGGTTGAGCTTCCCTCTTATGTGGTAAATAGTTCATGTTTGGACCAATCCAATTTTATCCACTATATTTTTAGACATGATTATTATTATTATTATTATTATTATTTATATAATAATAATAATAGTTGGGGATATAAGGAGTTGGGGAAGTAGATGAGTTAAGCATGTGAAGAGTTGAAGAAATTTATTCCCATTTAATCTTCATTATTTCCATGTTCAAGTATTGAGGTTATAAAAGGAGCTTCTTCATTCTTCTCCAAGGATTCACATATATACATATGAGAGATTGATTCGGCAGTGAGGTTAAGAGAAGGGAAAAACTATTCTCCCTTCATTCTTTTCATTTGGCAGTGCGAGGAACTTGCCGTGAGTTTGCTGAACTTGTTGGGTACAATATTCATCAAATGTTTTGAAGGTCAGCTTGTATTTATTCCAAACATCTTTTGGGTAATCTCGTACTACTTATATTCATTTTATCTTGTTCGTGGTAGTTGAATATTTTGAGTACGTACGAGATATTATTCCTATTTAGCCTGTGAATTTAAAGGATGTATTTGACCTAGAATTGGTGTATTTGATGATTTGTGGATGTATGGCTCGTGTGGTAGCCTGAACTTGTGTACCCGAGATTTGTTATAGTGGAATTGTTGGTGGTGTTGGTCCCGTGGTTTTTCCACGTAAATCTTGTGTTCATTGCTTTGTTATTTATTTTTGGATATTGTGTATCATCTTGTGTTTGTGCTTCTGTCGGTTCTGTGATTTTTCGTTGTCACAGGAAGTGGGATTTTTCCCACCAAAGTGGTATCAGAGCCCTGGTTGTTGATTGGGTACATTTGACATGGAGACAAATATGAGTAATATGGTACGATTGAATGGTAGAAATTATCACATTTGGAAGGCCAAGATGAAGGATCTTCTGTTTGTGAAGAAATTACATCTACCTGTGTTTGTAACTGCAAAGCCAGAAAGCATGTCAGACGAAGAGTGGGACTTTGAGCACCAACAAGTTTGTGGTTATATTCGCCAATGGGTTGAAGATAATGTTATGAATCACATTATCAACGAGGCACATGCCAGAAGCCTGTGGGATAAACTTGAGACCCTGTATGCTTCCAAGACATGCAATAACAAATTGTTTTTGCTAAAACAATTGATGAATCTAAGATTCAGGGAAGGTACATTGATTAATAATCATGTCAATGATTTTCAGGGTGTTCTTGATCAGTTGTCTAGCATGGGCATCAAATTTGAGGATGAGGTACTTGGTCTCTGGTTGCTTAACACTCTACCTGATTCTTGGGAAACACTTCGGGTTTCTTTGACCAATTCTGCTCCCAACGGTGTTGTGACCATGGAGTATGTCAAGAGTGTATCTTTAATGAAGAGTCAAGAAGAAGATCTTAAGACACCTCCACTTCACAGTCAGATATTTTGGTTACAAATGATAGGGGGAGAAACAAACAAAGGGGTCAGAAGGGTAGAGATAAAAGCAGAAGTAAGTCAAGGTCATGGCACAAGGATGTTGAATGTCATTATTGTGGCAAGAAAGGACACATCAAGAAAAATTGCTTCAAGTTGAAAAGGGAAAAGAAGCAAGACAAGAAAGATGATAACACCGAGAACCAGGTTGCAACAGTTAAAGCAGATTTACTTGTTGCTTGTGATGAGAACGCCATCAATGTTGCATGTCACGAAACAACTTGGATTTGTGATTCAGGTGCATCCTACCATGTTACACCAAGGAATGAATTCTTTACTTCATATACTCCAGGTGACTATGGAGAGTTAAGAATGGGTGATGATGGTCAGGTGAAGGTGATTGGTACCGGTACAGTTTGCCTTGAGACAAGCAATGGCACAAAGTTGGTACTTAAAAATGTAAAGCATGCACCAGGTATCAAACTAAATCTTATTTCTACAGGAAAGCTTGATAATGATGGTTTCTGTTGTTTCTTTGGTGATGGACATTGGAAAATCACTAAAGGTTCACTGGTTATTGCACGAGGTAACAAGTCTTCTAACTTGTACTCTTTGCATAGCTTTATTTCTGGTGATTCAGTGAATGTGGCAGCAAAAGAATGTGCATCAGAATTGTGGCATAAACGACTTGGCCACATGAGCGTGAAGGGGATTGATTGTCTTGCCAAGAAGAGTAAGCTTTCAGGGGTAAAAGAAGCTAGGTTGGACAGATGTGTTCATTGCTTGGCGGGGAAACAGAAAAGAGTTTCTTTCATGAGCAATCCTCCTTCGAAGAGGTCAGAGCCACTTGAGTTGGTACATTCTGATGTGTGTGGACCAATGAAGGTTAGGTCACTTGGAGGTGCGTCTTACTTTGTGACCTTTATTGATGATTATTCTAGGAAGCTTTGGGTCTACACTTTGAAGCACAAAAGTGATATGTTCAGTGTGTTTAAAGAGTTTCATGCTCTTGTTGAGAGACCGACAGGGAAGAAATTGAAGTGCATTCGTACTGATAATGGTGGTGAATACCGTGGCCCATTTGATGAATATTGCAGAATGCACGGTATTAGACATCAGAAAACTCCTCCTAAGACTCCTCAGTTAAATGGCTTAGCAGAGAGGATGAACCGGACAATTATGGAGAGAGTTAGATGCATGCTTGATGATGCGAAGCTGCCTAGATCTTTTTGGGCTGAAGCAGTTTCCACAGCTGTTCATATTATCAATTTATCTCCCATTATTGCTTTGAGTAATGAAGTTCCTGATAAGGTTTAGGGTGGAAAGGAAGTTTCTTATGATCACCTCAGAGTCTTCGGTTGTAAGGCATTTATGCATGTCCCAAGAGATGAGAGATCTAAGTTGGACTCGAAGACCAGACAATGCATCTTCATCGGTTATGGTCTTGATGAATTTGGCTACAGGCTGTATGATCCAGTTGAGAAGAAGCTTGTGAGAAGCCGTGATGTAGTGTTCTTTGAGAATCAAACCATTGAGGATGTTGATAAAGTGAGGAAGCCAGAATCTCATGACAACGGAAGTTTGGTTGACCTTGAGCCAGTTTCCAACAAACATACACATGATGTTGATGAGATTCAGGAGAATGGTCAGAATGATGATCTTGTACCAGACCTTCAGGATGATACAGTTGATGTAGATGGTCATGTTGATGATGTTGTGCACTAGGAACAAGAAGTTCCTTCGCAGGTTCCAGTTGATCTTCCTAGAAGGTCTAACAGGGAGCGGAGACCATCGACTCGTTACTCTTCCGATCAGTATGTACTCTTGACTGATGAGGGAGAACCCGAGTCTTATGAAGAAGCCATGGAGAGTGAGCAAAAGAGACAGTGGCTTGAGGCTATGCAGGATGAGATGAACTCCTTATATGCAAATGATACCTTTGAGTTGGTGAGGGCACCAAAGAGCAAGAAAGCTTTGAAGAACAGGTGGGTCTACAGATTGAAACATGAAGAAGTCACTTCAGTTCCACAGTTCAAAGCTAGACTGGTGGTGAAGGGTTTCAGCCAGAAGAAAAGTATTGATTTTGATGAAATTTTCTCTCCTGTTGTGAAATTTTCATCCATTAGAGTTGTGTTGGGTCTAGCAGCCTATTTGGATTTAGAAATTGAACAGATGGATGTGAAGACATCTTTTCTCCATGGTGATTTAGATGAGGAGATATATATGGAGCAGCCCGAGGGTTTCAAAGTCAAAGGGAAAGATGATTATGTTTGCAGATTGAAGAAGAGTTTGTATGGTTTGAAGCAAGCTCTGAGGCAGTGGTATAAAAAGTTTACTTCTGTTATGAGTAAGCATGGGTACAAGAAGACTTCTTTAGACCACTGTGTTTTTGTAAACAGATATTCTGATGATGACTTTGTTATATTGTTGCTTTATGTTGATGATATGTTGATTGTTGGTCACAATGTCTCAAGAATTCAACAGTTGAAACAAGAGTTGAGTAAGTCCTTTTCTATGAAGGACATGGGACCAGCAAAACAAATTCTTGGGATAAAGATCATCCGTGACAAGCAGGATAAGAAGTTGTGGTTATCTCAAGAGAAGTATATAGAGAAGGTACTTGAGAGATTTAATATGGATGAAGCTAAATCAGTGAATACACCTCTTGGTATGCACTTCAAGTTGAGCAAGAAGCAATGTCCTTCTAGTGAGAAAGAAAAGGAAGAAATGCAAAGAGTTCCTTATTCTTCAACTGTTGGTAGTTTGATGTATGCGATGGTATGCACGAGACCAGATATTGCTCATGCAGTGGGTGTTGTTAGCAGATTTCTTTCAAATCTAGGGAAAGAACATTGGGATGCTGTGAAGTGGGTTCTGAGATATCTTCGGGGTACTTCAAGTCTGAGTTTGTGTTTTGGTACAGGGAAACATATCCTTACCGGGTACACTGATTCTGATATGGCCGGAGACATTGATACTAGGAAATCTACTTCAGGCTATCTGATTACCTATGCAGGGGGAGCAGTTTCATGGCAATCAAGATTGCAAAAGTGTATTGCTTTGTCTACCACTGAAGCTGAGTTCATAGCATCTGGTGAGGCCAGTAAAGAAATGCTATGGATGAAGAAGTTTATTCAGGAGCTCGGGTTTGTTCAAGACAGGTATGTGCTCTATTGTGATAGTCAGAGTGCAGTTCATCTTGCAAAGAATTCCACGTTTCATTATCGGTCAAAACATATTGACACAAGATATCATTGGATTAGAGATATCTTGGAATGCAAGATGCTTGAACTTGAAAAGATTCATACTGATGATAATGGGCCTGACATGATGACCAAGTCGTTGCCAAGAGGAAAGTTTGAGGTATGTTGTTCTATCGCCGGAATGGCGGTATCTTCCACATAGTCGGGAGGGGGAGATTTGTTGGGTTGAGCTTCCCTCCTATGTGGTAAATAGTTCATGTTTGGGCCAAGCCAATTTTATCCACTATATTTTTAGACATGATTATTATTATTATTTATATAATAATAATAATAGTTGGGGATATAAGGAGTTGGGGAAGTAGATGAGTTAAGCATGTGAAGAGTTGAAGAAATGTATTCCCATTTAATCTTCATTATTTCCATGTTCAAGTATTGAGGTTATAAAAGGAGATTCTTCATTCTTCTCCAAGGATTCACATATATACATATGAGAGATTGATTCGGCAGTGAGGTTAAGAGAAGGGAAAAACTATTCTCCCTTCATTCTTTTCATTTGGCAGTGCGAGGAACTTGCAGTTAGTTTGCCGAACTTGTTGGGTACAATCTTCATCAAATGTTTTGAAGGTCAGCTTGTATTTATTTCAGGCATCTTTTGGGTAATCTCGTACTACTTATATTCATTTTATCTTGTTCGTGGTAGTTGAATATTTTGAGTACGTACGAGATATTATTCCTATTTAGCCTGTGAATTTAAAGGATGTATTTTGCCTAGAATTGGTGTATTTGATGATTTGTGGATGTATGGCTCGTGTTGTAGCCTGAACTTGTGTACCCGAGATTTGTTATAGTGGAATTGTTGGTGGTGTTGGTCCCGTGGTTTTTCCCCGTGATTTTGAGGTTTCCACATAAATCTTGTGTTCATTGCTTTGTTATTTATTTTTGGATATTGTGTATCATCTTGTGTTTGTGCTCCTGTCGGTTCTGTGATTTTTCGTTGTCACAGGAAGTCGGAATTTTCCCAGCAATATTTTTATTAAAAAATATTAAAAATAAATCTATAGTTACATAAAGTCATTACTTTAGTGTGATGTTTATGTAGATTAAACTTATTATTTTGTTTATGAACATATAGAATAAATATTATGAATCAATTATAAAATGAATAGAAATACATATAATGTATATTTAGTTTATTATTTATAGACATTAAGGTAAAAGGTTTATGGAAAAATAAAACAAATATTATAAACATAATACAAGATAATATTAATAAATATAATACACTAATTGACACTTAATTAATATAAAAAGATATCATTTTAAACTATAATTTACTATGTAAGATGGACCTTGGTTCGTGTTATAATTTGCAACCCTAACATTTTGGATAATAAATTTCTTTCACCCATGATCCATTTAAGAGTTATTGTTCACTTTTTTTTTTTTTTTTTTTTTTTTTTTTTTTTTTTTTTTTTTTTTTTCTGAAACATTCACAATTCTTTACAAGGTAGTATCTATTTTATATTTTCTTAATCATTTTCAGCCCAAAGCTTCACCACCAGGGGATTCGATCATGTGCCCACTTATTTGGAATGGTAACAGAGGTGTCATAACACTACGCAGTAGTGACAAATTTTTATGTGGACAATGGTCCACATAGAGTTGTGTAGACCATAAAGAGGTACATTTTTAATATACTAAAAATACTTTTTTTTTTTGAAAGGAACTAAAAGTACATTATTTGTGTACTAAAATTTACATTATTTGATATTATACAAAATAATGTACTTTCAATACACAAATAATATACATTCAAATAACGTACTTTATGTATATAAATAATGTACTTTTTTTATTTTGTGATCCATGTAATAATGTCTCCATAGTAGTTGGCAAGAGTTATTGTTCACTTGAAAAACAAAGGAAAAATTGTCAAATTGTCATTCTAAGTCAAATATACAGTGCAATTAAATGAAAAAATTAAAAGAAATAAGAAAAAAAGTTAATAAAAAATAAATTAAAATGAGACACGTGTGAGCATGAGAAAGCACCAATCCATCAAACAGGTAATCTAGGACTCAATTAAACATTTTAACTGATTTAAAAAATTTAAATAGAACTTTTTTATTTATTTATGAAGTAAATACCTAAAATGGTCCATCGACTATAACTAAATTCACAAATTGGTCTTTAACTTTCAATTTCAACCAATTAAGTCATTAACTTTACAATTTTGACACGATTTGGTCCTCCATCTATTTGACCATTTGTTGACCGCGACCGACGATCTCCAGAAGAACCTTCAGCTCTCGTCGGAGCACGTGGAGGCCTCCAGGATGACGTTGCACCGGTTCGGAAACACGTCGTCTTCTTCGCTCTGGTACGAACTCAACTACATTGAATCCAAAGGGAGGATGGAGAAAGGCGACCGGATTTGGTAGATTGCTTTCAGAAGTGGATTCGAATGTAATAGTGCGGTCTGAAAATGCAACCAGAACCTTAAAAAACCGATGATGGACCATGAAATTACATATATATCCTCAAAGATCACAGTCAACAAACGGTCAAATAGACAGAGGACCAAATTGTGTTAAAATTATAAAGTTAAGGACTTAATTGGTTAAAATTAAAAATTGAGGATCAATTTGTGAATTTAGCTATAGTCGATGGACTATTTTAGGTATTTACTCTTAATTACGGGACTCAATTGCACTATTTGATTTATACGAGGACTCTTTCTCCAAAAACAAATTTAAATAGTGGTGTGAACTGTGAAGCCCAAGTCCGACTCGTTTATAAAAGAGAAAAGATATTTGAAGGAAGAAACTGAAGGAGGAAAAATCTGTGTAGCTTTGAAGTCTTAAACCCTCGCCTTTCATTGTCTTTGTCAACTTAGAAAAGAAATAAGGAAAAATGGCTTCTTCAATGACCCTGAGAAATGCTATCGCCGCTTCCAGCATCTTCACCAAATTCCTCAGCGAGAAGTTCCCTTCCACCGCCGCCACCCCTATAATCAGTCGCCTCTTTTCTTCCTCAACCACCGGTTCCGGTTCCTCCACCGTCGACCCCGATGACCCACCATGTACTCGAACTTCCTCTTTCCCATTTCTAAAAAACCAATCTTAATACTAAATTCTATACTAGTTGTCTTCAATTTCTGGTAAATCTTTGTTCTTTTTTTACAGTTGTTTTGCAGGGTGCTCCGCAGAAATTCAAGATGGAAAACCCGTTCCAAACGGACGGGCCTGGAAACGTGATTCTAGCGGACACCGTGAAGGAAGGAACGCTGGTCCGAGTGACCATGCCGGGTGTGGGTCCGGACGGTTTCAAGGTCTGGACGGAGAAGAACAGCGTGTACTTCGCCGGAAAAGGGGAAATCGAGATGGAAGGAGAAGAATCCGGGAGAAATTACGGCGGCAGCCTTAAATTTAAACCAGAAATTAATAGAGTTCATGCTGTTAAGGCGGAGATGAAGAATGGAGTCCTCAAATTATTTGTTCCCAGGGTAGGGAGTGCTCAGGACGAAGAAAGATAGTTAGGTTTCGACGGGCTATGGTTTCCATTTTCCGGAGATTGCTGTCTTGCACTGCCCAGGTTGACGTGGTTGGTTGAATATTAATTAATTAATATAATTATTGTAATAAAAATATTAAGAAATACCAGTAAGAATTGGCTCAAGTGTCAAAACACACCATGAACCAATTGCCATATGTCATGCCACATCCTAAACTTTTATATCTGTTGTTTTGATCTATAAACCATAAATTTTTATTCATCTAGACTTTTTAGCAGGTTTCCAGGTTACCTTGATGACATGGTAATGATTATGTGTTGATGTGGACTTAATTTTAAGATTCAACACCCATTTCAAAGACTTTGTGCTGATGTGGCATGGACGGAAGGCCATCCGACTGATCTTCAACGCCATGGACTGAGCTCCTTCTGTAAATCGCCAGAGCCAGCACCAGCAGCCATAGCAACGACTGACCACCACGGCACACAATGCTGACCAACCCAGATTCCAGCGACCTCACAACCACCCTTGTTCTGTTTATCTCGGCCAAACCAGCAGCCAGTAGAAAGAATTACCAGAGCAGTGTAGAGCTGGGTTGGCAACTGCGAGTAACCAAAAAAGAAAAAAAAAAAAAAAAAAGAGAGAAGAGAAGATTACACATCTTTAGCAGCTAGCAAACTGGTAAAGATTACATGGAAAATAATTAACCAGAAAACTTACACAGTTGCAGGCTCAAGAAGGCAACCAACTAGATTGAATATGTCTCTGTATAAAAAAATCAAGAGACAAAAAAATAAAACAGGTGGTGATATATACACAATCTTAGCAAAAAGACGAGAAATTCGAAGTGAAAAACGAAGAAGGCGAAAAAAATCCGGCGATCCAAGTGAGGAGAAAGAGAAGGGAGACGCCATGGCTGGACTTGGTGCGGAAGTTAGTGACGATTTGAGGGATTTCAGCCGGCAATAAGATAAAAAAGAGGAAGATATAATGGCGGTCAATAACACCGGACTCCACACTCCACACTCCACACTATTAGTACGATGTAAATCAGAAATCAGGAAGACGGTATCACGATGTAGTTCAATCAGCTGAAGCTAATACATACTCCGTACATAGTAACAAACGCGTAAATATATATGAAAATTTGTAAAGCGCAGCACCGAAACTGAAGTTGTAACACAAATAATTTGTAACGCAGTTCGGGCAAACAACCCTAATCTGCGAGGCACTTCTCAATTTGAGAACTTGCCTAAATCCACTAAAAGCTCAATATTTAAAGTACACTGTTTGGAACATGAGATTACACAATAGAATAATCTTTCCTACCAACTATTGAAACCTAAACACATGTACTACTTTCTAGGGGAATTTAGTATCCTATTTTCAAAGACTCTCGTACCTCACAAGATTAATGTTGAATGCTTGAGGTCTACAATAAAGGACATCCCCTATTTATAGTAGCTATTCCTAACAGATTCGTGAATAACAAACTATTCCTAATCAAAATAGAACTAGAAAATCTTCAACAACAAATCCCCTTAGAACTAGTATTCTTCAATAACTATTCCTCTTAGTACTGATATTCCTTTATAGAACTGGAATTCTTTTTGCACATAACTTTGACAAAATACTTTGAGTCAACATTCTCCCCCTTTGTCAAATTTTTGGCAAACACCTTGGTCTCTGTCTTTCTCCCCCTTAGTTGATGCCACAGTGGTGTTTGATTGATGGTAGATTAATGACAGGTTAGATCACTATCCCATGTGTAGCTTTTATCAGATGATCTTTTCCCCATCATAACACATTCATGTTTTTGGTTGTAGACTTTACAATTCTCTTTGGAAAATTCTACTTTGAGTTCATCATCACACAGTTGACTTATACTGATAAGGTTTGCTTTGAGTCCTTGTACCAAAAAGACTCTTGGTAATCTGGGCAGTCCATGGACATTCAAGGTACCACTTGCCATAATCTGTCCTTTTCCTCCATCTCCAAAAGTGACATGCCCTTCATTTTTGTACTGGATATTCTCAAGATAATGTGGATTTCCTGTCATATGTCTTGAACATCCGCTGTCAAAATACCAAACACTTTGTTCTTGGCTTGTTTCTGAGGTATACGCAACAGCTTGTGTTTGATCCTTTCTTACCCATACTTTCTTGCTGTTATTTTTGCTTTGTACTGTCCAATCTCTATTGTTTTGTCTGTAATAGAGATCATTTTGTCTTTTGAAGCAGTATTCCTTTATGTGTCCCAATTTGTGGCAGTAATAACATCTGATTCTCCTTCGGTGTTGAAAGTGATGTTGTGACACCTCAGGATTTTCAGAAGAGTGGCTTTCACTGGACGCTGGATTTGGAGATCTAGGCCTTCCATCTAGTGCCTTGATTTCTTGTAACAGTTTGGCCTCTCTGTTTTTAGATTCTAATAATTCATTTTGAGTTTCTTTGAGGCGCTTTTCTTCTCTATCTTTTTCACCTTTTAGAAATTGATTTTCTTGCATGAGCTCTAGATTCACTTTGATGATTTGTTCCCATTTAGCATACAATTGGGTATATGACTCTAGCAGTTCTTGCATATCATTTTCGTTTTCGTTGTCATTCTCATGATTTGCGGTGAATGCTACGAAATTAGTGTTGGTGTCTTCTTCACTATCTGAGTCATCGCTTAGTGTTGCCACATATGTTTTGTTCTTCCTTTTAAAATATGTTGGACATTCTGACTGGATGTGTCCAAACCCTTTGCACTCGTAGCACTGAATTCCTTCAGGTTTTAGACTCTCCCTTCCTTTTGAAATAGATTGATTTTGTCCAGTTGGGAAGTTCCCTTGATTGATTGAAGCACTTTTGCTTCTAAATTTGTTCAATTTTTTGAGAACTCTGTTGAAATTCTTTGTTATGAGAGCAATTGATTGTTCCATGGTTTCAGTATCAATTTCTGGACTCTCTTTCTGCTTTGATTGGAGCGCAATTCCTTTGTCATTATTTTTCCCTTTTTGCAATATCTCAAGCTCATATGTTTGAAGATTTCCCATTAGATCACTGAGTTTGTAGGTGTTTAGATCTTTGTTTTCTTGGATGGCTGTAACCTTTATCATAAATCTCTCAGGTAAGGAACGTAGACCTTTTTGACGAGCCTAGGTTCAGGAATAGGTTCGCCTAGGTTAAACGCATCTCCAGCAATCCCTAAAACTCTTGCACTAAACTGTGAGATATCCTCATCTTCTTCCATTTTTAAATTCTCAAACTGTGTTTGTATCATTTGCAGCTTGGATTGCTTAACAGAAGTATTTCCTTCGTGATGATCACATAGTATATCCCATGCAATTTTAGCTATGCCAGTGGTAGCGATTAGTTTGAAAGTATCTTCACTTACCGCTCCATATATGGCATTCATTGCTTTTGAATTGTAATTATATTCTCTTCGCTCTTCTTCATTCCATTCTGCTTTAGGTTTTTGATTACCTTTATCATCAACTGGATTCTTCCATTCTTTCTCAACGGCTTCCCAAACTCCTTCTCCTTGTGCCAAAATATAGATTTTCATTCTAGCTTTCTAGTAGGAGAAATTTGTACCAAAGAGAGCAGGGGCCTGGTGCTTGACAGTCCTTCTCTGGGAAACTCCATTAGGATCCTGCTAATAATTTAAGCAGTTTGGCTCTGATACCAATTGAAAATTTGTAAAGCGCAGCACCGAAACTGAAGTTGTAACACAAACAATTTGTAACGCAGTTCGGGCAAACAACCCTAATCTGCGAGGCACTTCTCAATTTGAGAACTTGCCTAAATCCACTAAAAGCTCAATATTTAAAGTACACTGTTTGGAACCTGAGATTACACAATAGAATAATCTTTCCTACCAACTATTGAAACCTAAACACATGTACTACTTTCTAGGGGAATTTAGTATCCTATTTTCAAAGACTCTCGTACCTCACAAGATTAATGTTGAATGCTTGAGGTCTACAATAAAGGACATCCCCTATTTATAGTAGCTATTCCTAACAGATTCGTGAATAACAAACTATTCCTAATCAAAATAGAACTAGAAAATCTTCAACAACAAATCCCCTTAGAACTAGTATTCTTCAATAACTATTCCTCTTAGTACTGATATTCCTTTATAGAACTGGAATTCTTTTTGCACATAACTTTGACAAAATACTTTGAGTCAACAATATACAAGATTATCGAGCAAAGAAAGGTACCGTCGGACTCGTAGAAGTTGACAACGGAGATGCTCCGGCGAGTTCTGGAGAATAGATCCAAGGAGTCATCGGAGGGGTCATTGTTGGAGGCTCCATTGACGCTAAGGCCACGCCGGAGCTGCGGTGCTACCAGAAATCTCTTCCCCCTCCGATCATAGAGTCCCTAAAGCTCCGATTCGTCTCGCATCAATCAGTGGCGGTAATCACTCCAGCATTATGAGTAATAGAAGAATTTGTGAGGCTCGGCTAATGACCCGAACGGACCGGGAAGCACGAGTCTTCGGAGAGGTTGTAGATTGGATCTGTGAGAATGAGAAAAATGTGAGAGTGTTGGGAAAGAGGAAGGGGAAGGAGGCAAAAGCATGTTATGCATACTAAATAGATGTTCCCTCAATTCCACTGCCTTCGCGTTTCTGCCGGCAAGTCTTGGCCGAGGGTGAGGACCAGAATCCCCACCACGACATGAAGCCATCCCAGAATGAAGAAAGCAATCCTCCAGGTGCTGAACGGAGTTGCCCAGGTTGGCTGGATTATGTTGTTCCTCTGAGGACAGATTAGCCCGAGAAGAACAGAGGGAGATCGAGAAAAAAATTCTTGAGAAAGTAAAAAAAGATGCCATGTCATATTTTTAATACATATTTAAATAAGTCAATAAAAATAAATACCTCCACGTCAGCATATTATAATGGGTAACTTGATGGCAACCTACTAAAAAGTCTAAACGAACAAAATTTTATGGTTTGCACATCAAAATAGCATATATAAAAGATCAGAGTGCGGCATGACATATGACAATTGGTTCGTGGTGCGATTTGACACTTTAGCCGTAAGAATTTAAAATCCACCCTTTAATTTAGATTTTAGATTTTAGATATCTGAATTATAAAGAATATTATTTTATGTTTCCATCAAAATGGGTTTCTATTTAATT